GCATAAATCGTGATGGTTGGTGGACATGTGATGATTTAGTTAATCAGGTAGTTGAATGTGCTATACCAATATTTGAACGAACACACCCCAACAAGATAGCTCTATTCATGTTTGATAATAGTAGCAATCATAGTTCATTTGCTGAAGATGCCCTTTTGGTTTCGCAAATGGGTATGAAAGACAGTACAAAAAAACCACTTCTTCGTGATGGTACAATGCCTGATGGTTCCAAGCATATAATGACCTATATAGACAATGCTAATATAAAAAGGCCTAAGGGAATTAAATGGGTTCTTGAAAAAAGAGGTTTATGGATACCAGGCCTTATAAAAAAATGTGATACATGTAAAAAAAATAAGCCTGATCCAAACAACCCAAACTGTTGCGCTTCGCATATTCTTTCAGCTCAACCCGACTTTGCAGCTCAAAGATCACGCATACGAGAGGTAAATAAGTTTTTTTTTGTTAAAAAAAAAAAAAAAAATTTAAAAACCATAACTTACATACGTATAAATAATTTAGATAATTGAAGATGCCGGCCACATGTGCATCTTTTACCCTAAGTTCCATTGTGAACTTAATTACATTAAGTCCGTTTGGGCCGAGGTGAAACGTTATGCAAGACTTTACTGTGATTATAGTTTTAAGAGCCTCAAAAAAACTGTTCTGATGGCATTAGATTCTGTTAGTTTATTAAAAATTCACCGCTTTGCTCGCCGTTCTGAATGATTTATGAGTGCTTATGAACTTGAACTTTCTGGAAAGGCTGCTAACTTTGCAGTAAAGAAGTATCGTTCTCATCGTCGAATTCCAGAACAAGTTCTTGAAGAATTCGCTCATGATTAAAATATTTTGTATAAACATTAATAGATGTCGAAGTATATATGTACGAACTATATGTGTAAAAAAAGTTGTAAAGTAATACTTTAAAGTGTATACGTACTTCAATAAACTGTGAATTTAAAAGCAAAAAAAGTTAGGGTTAGATTTTACACGTAAAGTAAAAATCGTTCGAGGAAAAAGCATCAATGATGATTTCTTACATATACGTACAAAATTCTGAAATCTGATTTGTACAGAACATCTGCACCACAAAATCTAATTTTGATGAAATTCCGATCCTAACCTAAGACCACAAAATTAATTTTTCTTTTTGCATTACCTGCCGATCCAACTTTTTTTTAAAAAAAAAAC